ACAGAGCCCTGAAACGCCCCAAAAGCCCCAAAAACCGCCCCAAAACATGCCCCAGACCGCCGAAAGAGGCCGAAGACGGCCCCGAGAAGGCCGAACCGACGCCCGAACCGACCCAAAAACTCAAGAGGCCCCCGAAAGGGCCTTACAAGAACCCAAGACAGGTTTTCAAACATCAGTGCTACCTGGGAATTCCCAGCGCCCACATTCTGAACGGCCAAGACACGCAATGCGGGAACCGTTGCGAGTTCCAGCAAAGCGCCCCGGCGTTCCCTGACCAGCGCCGTGGGAGCGCAAGGGCCTCCACGCAGCTGGCGGGCTTCCCGTGGTAACACTATGAGCCTGTAGCGAATAATCAGAATCGCTGACTGGATGCCAGCCGGGGGTGCACCGTGAACCTGATTACCGATGTATGGCGTTGCCTTTTTACGCACGACGATAATGTAATGAGCTTGTCACGAGCAATACTGAGATGCATCTATGGAGCGTCGACACGAAGTTGAAACCACAAGTCATCGCCCAACACGGCAGCTACAGCAACGATACACTGTCACCATGAACAGCTTCGTCATTGCGTGCGCAGAGAATTCGGAATAGCCAGGAAAACAGACAAATGCCACAAGCCATTTGGGCGTAGGTGGTTTCAGTAGTTCTGTCTGTTGTGAGATGATCCAGATAACCTATCACATAGACTGTATCCTCATCCTCTTCTCCTAGCTCAAGCAATCCCCTTAACATGGACATTCGTGGGGAGCTGCCCGTTGGCGTCGACAGACCACATAGCGGCGCGCGCGTTGTCCTCGTTTTGAAGGGGCTGCGCCCCGCGTTCCTCCTTTTACTCCTCGCCTCAGCCCAGTGCTTCGCGGCCCCATAGGGAGCTCCACCGAAGACCCCTGCTGCGGCGGTCACATGCGCCCCGCGCCTCCCAGCACAACGCTTCGCGGCCCCATAGAAAGCTCCACCGAAGGCCCCAGTGGCTGCGAACGTATGCGCCCCGCGCTACCAAGCACAAAATTTCTCGGCCCCATGGCGAGCTCTACTGAAGGCCCCGGCGGGGGCAATCGCACGCGCCCAGCGCAACCCAGCACAGCGCTTCGCGGCCGCATGGGGAGCTCCGCCGAAGATCCCAGCGGCGGTGATCACATCCGCCCGGCGACACCCAGCAAAGCGCGTCGTGGCCCCATAGGGAGCTCCACCGAAGACTGCACCGGCTGTGATCACATGCGCCCAGCGCCACCCAGCACAGCGCTGCGCGACCGCATGGGGGGATCCACCGAAGGTCCCAGCGGCTGTGATCACATGCCTCCCGCGACACCCAGCAAAGCGCGCCGCGACCCCGCGGGGAGCTCCCCCGAAGACCGCAGCGGCTGTGATCACATGCGTCCCGCGCCACCCAGCACAGCTCGTCGCGGCCCCATGGGGAGCTCCACCGAAGGACCCAGTGACTGTGATTACATGGCCACGCGACGCCCAGCACAGCGCTCCGCGACCCCATGGGAGGCTGCACCGAAACCCAGCGGCGGTGATCACATGCGCCACTCGCCACCCAGCGCAACGATTCGCGACCTCATCGGGAGCTCCACCGAAAGCCAGCAGCGGCGATCACATACGCCCCGCGCCGCCCAGCACGGCGCTTCGCAGCCCCGTAGGGAGCTCCACCGAAGACCCCAGTAAATGTGATCACATGCGTCCCGCGCCACCAAACACAGCGTCTCGGGGCCCCACGCAGCTGCACCGAAGGCGCCTGTGGCTGTGCTCACATGCGCCCCAGCCACCCAGCACAGCGCTCCACCAAGCACAACATTTTGTGGCCCCACAGGGAACTCCACCGAAGACCCCAGCGGCGGCGATTACATGCGCCACGCGCAACCCAGCACAGCGCTTTGCGGCCCCATGGAGAGCTCCACGGAAGAGTTCTGCGGCGGTGATCACCTGCGTCCTGCGACACCCATCACAGCTTCGCGGCCCCATCGGGAGCTCCACCGAAAGCCCCAGTCGTCCGGCCATGGATTTCCCAGGATCTGGAAGTATCGGAAACCCATGGCCCGACCACTGCCAACGGACCCCATGGGAGGGTAGTTATCGTAAAATTACGTCTTATGGCTCCAGGAGTCCCAGCGTTCGAAATATGGAAAACCTGGTCTCCCCAACATAGAAACCTTTCTTTTGTGATTCCAGGCTTCCCGCAAATCCAACCCCCAAGCGCCTTCTCCCCCTTAAATTTCCGAAATTCTGAATTCGAGCTACGGGAAACCAACCTTCCGCACTGTGGGACACTTGCGTACTCCTGTCCAAGATCCAGTTAGCGACGCAATCCGCTCGTGGCATCCAAAATCGGGATAGCGACGCGGTCCAAAGCGCACGAAATTATTACGGGAGACGCTGGCAAGGACGCCAGCATCTATGCCTGGAGAGCTTGCAAGCTGGAGAACGGAGCTTCGCAGAAGCTTCGAAGAGCTTCGAAGGAGCTGCAGAAAGGCTTCCGACACGCGCGTTGGGAAGGAGTTGGAACTCGCTTGCCAGAACACGGTGCAGCGTCAAGCAACATGCTGCGAGGTGTCTGGACCGGCGCCGGAAAGAGCTGCCTGGCCACCCGTGTTAAGCCACTCCAAGGCACCTGCGAACCTACTTGGGAGCTCCAGCGAAGCTCTCTTTCCCAAGCCTGCAAGCCCCCCAGCAAGCATCTCCTACAGGCATATCCCGCGCTTTGAACTGCGTCGCAATTCTGACTTTGCACGCTACAAGTATCCAGGCTTTGGACCCAACAAATGCTTCCCCGCGCCCTCGCATGCGTCTCACATCAAGCTTGTCAGCTCCCTGGGCACACTTCCCACTGTTCTTGTACGCGTCTCCCAAAGACATTCCCGGATAGCTCCACGAAGACCCAAGTTTCCTGGATATCTCCTTGGAAAGCTGCGAGGGCTGTCCCTCGTAGCTCTCTTCGGCAAGATGAGCTTAGAGGGATTCTGGCACAGGGTGGAATTAGCTAGTCGGCCCAACCACAACGAACTGCCTGACGACTTGGGCTCGCTTGTAAGAAGGTTGTGAGAACTTCGGCTCGTCTGCGAAACCTGATTCGAGAGCCAAGCATTTACTCGTTCTTCGCTTGGTGGTTAAATAAAACTTAGGGCCATAGCTCCACTGCCAGTAGCAATATACTTCCAGAAACCAACCTAAGGAAACATGTTTTCAGGAGATGCCATGTTTAAGTTATGCTGTAAAGCACTCTCGTGAATTGAGACAACCTGTTTCGTTTCTGCAAGCAGCTAAAGGGCACACGGCAATACCTTTGAAAGATGACTTCGGAAAACAAGTTTACACAAGTGTTGGTGGGTTCTGTTGTTTGAGGTCTAAGGCTGAGAAATAAATTTTTGTTCGCGGTGAGTTGCCCACTCCACTGCTCGCGCGAACATCCCACCCACCCACCCGCAACTTGGTCTGCAAAATCTCTTCAGCCCGTGACAGCGGGTACCACATGGCACTTGGCAACAACAGCAACGCCGACGACGACAGCGACAACGACGATGACGACGCCGCCGACAACGACTACGACGACACCGACGACGTCTCCAACGACTTCGACGACGCCGACAACCACGACGACGAGGAGGACACCGACGACGACGACGACGACGACGACACCGACGCCGACGACGACGACGATGACAACGACGACGACGACGACGACGCCGACGACGACGATAACGACGACACCGGCGACGACGACGACAACGACGCCGACGACGACGACGACGACGACGACGACGACGACGGCGACGACGACGACGCCGACGTCGACGACGACAAAGACGACAACGATGCCGACGCCGACGACGACGACGAAGACGACGACGACATCGCCAACGAAGACAACGAAGAAGAAAGGAGGACGACGACGGCGACAACGACGACAACGACGAGAGAGGGGGGGGGACGGCGACGACGCGAACGACGAAAGAAGAAGGACGGCGACGCAAACGACGGCAACAACGAGCGCGGAGGGGAGACGACGAGTACGACGACGATGACGAGGGCGACGAATAGGAGGGACGCCGACGACGGACGACGACGACGACGACGAGGGAGGAGCAGGAAGGACGACCACGGCGAGAACGACGACGGAAACGACCACGACGCCAAAGAGGACGACGACGACGAACACGAGGAAAGACAGAGGACGACGTAGGCGACGACGACGACGACGACAACGACGCGGGAGGGTTGACGGCGACGACGACGACGACGACGACGACGCAAGAGCGCGCGCGCACGCTTATGTTGAACATCCGTGGTGCGAAACCTTGTAATTTTGTAGGTTGTTTGAACACGCGATTTTAAAATCCTTCCGAAACCGATGGGTTGTGCAGGTTTTCGGCATACGCGCGCTACGACGCGCGCGCATGCATTTCGTCCAATTTGTTGCGGGGATTCTCGCGACGGCACACGCGCAAGGGTGTTCGACCGACTTCGACATGAGCGCGCGCGAAGCCCGTCTGGTAGCATTTTGTGAGAATCTTGAAAAACCGATGGTTTTCTTGAGATTTCGCAAGAGCTTTCGCGGCAGCGTTTTTAGCAATCTGCGTTGCGGAACCCTGTATGTTTGAATGTTTGTTTGGAAACTCTTTCCGCACCTAAGTTTTTGAAGGATTTCCACATGCGCGCGCGACGACGCGCGCCTGTGCAATTCAACTAATTTGTTGCAAGCGATTCACGAAAACGTGCTATGTTAATGTCACCGCATCATGCTTTTTCTTTTTTCCCAGGGAACCTCAGGAAGGGGGGCCCGGCCTAGCTGGGACGGCGTGATTTCACAGGTAGGATGGGCGAGTGTGCAGAATACATATATATATATACATAAATATATATATATATATATATATATATATATATAATTATACGGCACAACGGTCTGCAGTATCTAGACGCCTGATCTCCATCTGCTATCAGCGCTGGGGCTGAAAAACTAATCGTACTCTGCTATTTGTTTGGTGGTGTTGATGGTTTTCTTGACCTAACTCGAGCTGCAGATGAGCTACAGAGCTGTTTACCCAGCCAATCGGACGGGAATCATCAGGCACGCTAGTTGAAAGTATCTAGACGCCTGATCTCGGTCTTCTATCAGCGCTGGAGCTGAAGAAGTATTCGTAACCTGCTAGTAATGGGAACCGGCGGCAAACCGTCAACCAGGCTTTGTTGCGTCTTTGCTGGGACCATCTTGGCCACTGAGGCCAGGTCCAACGAAGTCTCAGGCGAAGCGAAGCCTCTAAATTGCCAAGCAAGCAGTCCACTCTTATAGAGAATCAGAAACATGCATGACCAAAGACGTTCGCACAACCTGTGGGAGATCATCGCAGATGCGCTCCGCCGCTGATAACTCTGTATCAGGGATCAGACCTAGGTCCGTAGGTGCAGTATACAGACAACCCTACAACAGTGAGAACACTGATGAGGCGAAACTCATACTACGACATGAGAGCCAGGAGACCTGGCCAAGAACTGAACATGCAAACACTGAATTCTTAGAGCTCAAACAAATGCATGTGCACCATGACTATGGAACGACAAACTGAAAGACTATGCACTGAATAAGGGTGCACTGAATGACCACACGAGGCAATCACAATCAACAATCAAAAAGACCACGCGAGGCAATCACAATCAACAATCCAATACAATTCAGCGTACAATACACAGAGAGGCAATGTCTGCAGACAAAAGGCCTCGTAGGAACCATGCACGTCGAAACTCGTAGAGTTTCACTTGTCGAAACTCCTCGGGCGTCCGAAGAATAGTATTCGGTAATCGCTGCACTTGCAACCTCAAGAAACTTGGCATTCTCGGCGCGGTTGATTTGTCCTGTCAAGTACCTGTGCACCTCGAAGAATCCTAGAAGATCCTCCAGCGTCGCTTGCACATTCTTGAGCATCTCATACAGTTTCCGAGCATAATCTGTTTGGGCCCTCTTTGTGGGGAACCCACGTTCTGTCGCCAGCTTATCAAACAAATCCATTCCGTTCTTTAGATACTGGATCGCATTCAACTCGTTGATGCTGGCAACAGCGTCAATCCACGCTTTGACATCGGCAATGGTGGCCTGAGAGCACGTCGATGTCCCCTTGACCTTGTCACGATCTCTCCCTCGAGTCCTCTGGCGCGACTCCGAAGAAGCGACACGGACAGACGCATCAGAACCAGGATTCGATACCTCATTGAGCGCGACATCAGCCAGGAGTTTGCCTTTGTCTTTGCCTTTTCCCTTGTCTTTAACGCGAGTGTTCTCTGAAGATTGCGGAACCGACCCCGACACCGACAGAGGGAGAATTGCGTCGTGCTGTGAAGACTGATCTCAGGCTTCTAGATATATTGCAAGATTTGCCCCTTATGATTCCCTTCCCATTGCTGTGCTGAACAGCTCTGTAGCTCATCTGCAGCACAAGTAAAACCAAGAAAAACACTATCATTTCCAAGAAGTAGCAGAATACGAATCGGTGTTCGGCCCTAGCACGAATGGCAGACTGAGCGCGGGTGTCTAGATACTTTCAAATAGCGCGCATGACGATTATGTTCCCATTCCAATGCCTCAGAGCTCTCCAGCTCATCTGCACCTCGAGTTCAGCCCAGGAAACGAATTCCATCACAAGAAAAAGAGAAGAGTATGACTAGCTCTTTGGCGTTTGCGCTCATAACAGACCCAAGCCAAGCGTCTAGATACTTCGACTAGCGCGCCTCACGATTTCCTTCTGATTCATGTGCAGAAGAGCTCTCGAACTCATCTGCAGATCGAATTAAGTGAAGAAATTCACCATCATTTCGAAAAAAATCAGGCGTATACAAACAGTTTTGCGAACCTAACTCGGGTACAAGACTGAGTTCAGACCTCTAGATGCGACAGACGAGCGCGCCTGATGATTATGAATCGATTCGTCTGCGCACCAGCTCTGTAGCTCTCCTACATTTCGAGTTAAGTACAGAAAACCAACAGCATTTGCCAAGATGACTCCAATTTTACGAATAGGTTCGCGGACCTAGCTCGAGTAGCAGACCGAGTTCAGACCTCTAGATGCAACATATGAACGCGCCTGATGATTTTAAGAGGGTTTCTGTAAGCATCAGCTCTGTAGCTGTCCTGTTACTCGAGTTAAGTCCAGAAAACAGACAGCACCTGTCAAGATGACTCGAATAATACAAATAGGTTCGCGGACCTAGCTTGAGTAGCAGACCGAGCTCAGACCTCTGGATGCATCCGATGAGCGCGCCTAATGATTTTGGATGGGCTTCGATAAGTATCAGCTCTGTAGCTGTCCTACAACTCGAGTTAAGTACAGAAAACCGCCAGCACCTGTCAAGATGACTCGAATCAAACAAATAGTTTCGCGGACCTAGCTCGAGTAGCAGACCGAGTTCAGACCTCTGGATGAAACAGACGAACGCGCCTGATGATTTTAAGAGGGTTTCTGTAAGTAGCAGCTCTGTAGCTGTCCTGCAGCTCGAGTTCAGTCCAGAAAACAGACAGCACATGTCAAGATGACTCGAATAATACAAATAGGTTCGCGGACCTAGTTCGAGTAGCAGACCGAGTTCAGATCTCTGGATGCAACCGATGAACGCGCCTAATGATTTTGAATGGGTTTCGATAAGTATCAGCTCTGTAGCTGTCCTACAGCTCGAGTCAAGTACAGAAAACCGCCAGCATCTGTCAAGATGACTCGAATAATACAAATAGTTTCGCGGACCACCTAGCTCGAGTAGCAGACCGAGTTCAGACCTCTGGATGAAACAGACGAACGCGCCTGATGATTCTGAGAGGGTGTCTGTAAGTATCAGCTCTGCAGCTGTCCTACAGCTCCAGTTAAGTACAGAAAACCGACAAAGCCTGTCAAGATGACTCGAAAGAGCCGATCCCGCCGGAGTGCGGAGTGCTTTTTGGCAGCAAAGGGCACCCGATCGAGCTGAGATCAAGACGGCGAGCGGAAATAAGATCGAATATCACGGGGAAAAATACTAGAACTCAAACGAAGTGTTGACTTTCGAGAGAACAAAATTTTCAACCCAGCAAAAGTCACCAAAAAGTCCGTCGAGATTTTTCTTGACAACTAGCTTTTCAGCGCGTTCGAACTGGAGTCCGGCGGTAAACCGTCAACCAGGTCACCGCCGGGAGCCTCGTAGAGCTCTTTCCTCGCACGGCACTGCTAGGCACACATCGGTGCAGCTTTCTTACGCGAGGGCTGGGAAACTTCAGAAATTGGTTCTTTCAGTTTTCACCGAAAGTTGGTTGCTTCAAGTGTTTTGATAGTAATTTTGCAGCTACGGACCTGAAAATTTCACTGGCAGACGCGGAATAACCCACTACAGGTGCGAAAAATACCGGTTCTCAAAACGAATGTTCAAATATGTCACAATGTCCGCCCAACAGGCCCCAAGTTCCCACATTGTCCGCCCGGACCGGGTAAATCAAGTGGAACCGGGGGTAAACCGTCAACCAGGTTACCGCCGGGGCCCTCGTAGAGCTCTTTTCTCGCACGCCGCTCCTCGGAACACATGAAGCACGCTTCTGAAGCGAGAGCCGAAAATCTCGAAAAAACATGTTTTTCTGTTTTGATCGTAAGTGGGTTCCCCCAAGTGTTTCGATCATAATACTGCACCTACGGGCCTGAGACTTTCACAGACACACGCGTCATGACCAACTGCAGGTGCGGAAAATCTGGTTTCTCGAAATGAATTGTCGAACTGGGAGCCGGCGGTAAACCGTCAACCAAGTTGCTTACCGCCGGGAGCCTCATAGAGCTCTTGTCTGCACGGCGCTGCTCGGAATAGATGGGAAAGCTTTCTTACGCGTGAGCTGAAAAACTGTGAAAAATACCTTTTTTCCGTTTCCACCGAAAGTCGGTTGCTTCAAGTGCTTTGATAGTACTACTGCAGTTACGGACCTAAGAATCTCAATGGCGGACGCGGCATAACCGACTCCAGGTGCGAAAAATACCGGCTCTTGAAATGAATGTTCTAATCTTCCACTATGTTCGCCAAACCGAACCAAAGTTCACACATTGTCCGCCCGGGCCGGGTGGGTCAACTAGCTGCACCCCGCGCCGGCATTCCTCTAGATCATCAATGCCGAAGAGCTCTACGAGGTACCTCGGTTCCGCCATGTGTTTTGGTAATACTCTACCTACGGGCCTGAGAATTTCGCAGGCGCACGCGTCATAACCCACTACAGGTGCGAAAAATCTGGTGTCTGAAAATGAATTGTTGGATATCTCTCAAATCTTGGCAAAACCTACCCAAAGTCGTCACATCTTCTTTTCTGGTCGGGTCGACCAACTAGCTCCACCCCGCGCCGGAATTCCTCTAGCTCATCGATGACGAAGAGCTTTACGAGCTATATATTTCAATCTGGCGCCGGCGGTGAACCGCCGGGAACCTCCTAGAGCTCCTTGCACGCATAAAAGTGCTCAGAATCGAAGCAGACAGCTTCTCGGAGCATTTCTAGAACAACGTCAAATTTGCATTTTTCGATATCTATCTGATCTCGGTTCCCGCTAATTTTTGGATAGTAAAACTCTCTCTAGAGAGCTGAGCTGCTCTCAGAATGAAATTCAGATACTAACGCAGGGAGTAAAAATCTGGTTTCTCAAAATGAATTGTCAAATATCTTTGAAATCTTCGCAAAACCGACCCAAAGCTACCACATTGTCCTTTCTGGCCGGGTCGATCAACTAGCTCCACCACGCGCCCGAATTCCTCTAGCTCTTCGATGACGAAGAGCTCTACGAGGTATCTCAGCAAAACCAACCCAAAGTCACCACTTTGTCTCTTCTGGTCGGGTCGACCAACTAGCTCCACCCCGCGCCGGAATTCCTCTAGCTCATCGATGACGAAGAGCTCTTCGAGGTACTAGCTGCACCCCGCGCCGGAATTCCTCTAGCTCATCGATGCCGAAGAGCTCTACGCGGCACTGGGAACCGGCGGTAAACCGTCAACCTGGTCACCGCCGGGGAGCTCGTAGAGCTCGTTTCTCGCACGGCGCTCCTCGGAACAGTGAAGAAAGCCTCTTCAGGGTGATCGGAAAAACTCGAAAAATCACGCGTTTCTGTTTTTATCGAACGTTGGTTCCTCCAAGTGTTTTGATAGTAATAATACAGCTACGGACCTGAGAACTTTACAAGCGCACGCGTCAGAACCCACTACAGGTGCGAAAAATCTGCTTTCTCAATATGAACTGTCAAATATCTTTCAAATCTTAGCCAAACCTACCCAAAGTCAGCACATCTTCATTTCTGGTCGGGTCGACCAACTAGCTCCACCCCGCGCCGGAATTCCTCTAGCTGATCGATAACGAAGAGCACTACAAGGTATTACTCTTAAGCTTCCAGCAACTAGCTAAGGGAAGCTCTACGACTTACTAGCTCCAGCCCGCGCCGGAATTTCTCTTAGCTCTTCGGCATCGAAGAGCTAGAGGAATTCTGGCGCGGTGTGGAGCTAGTTGGCCCACCCAGCCCGGGCGGAGAAAGTGGTAACTTTTGGTCGGTTTTTCCCGGAGAGCTCTCTGGGCGCTGTAGGGCTTTAGAGTAAAAGCCGGACGGTGGTGGTGCCTGCCAGCAGCCCATCTTCGCCGGTCCACGATCCCCGCAGCGACCTGCGTGGGGTCGCAGCGTGTCCGGGAGCGCTTCCGGCGCGCGTCCACGAGTGCAGGCGCGTGTGCAGGCACGCGTGGAAGCGTGCCTGACAGCGTTTCGGAAGCGCTTCTGGAGAGCTCCCCAGAGCTCTTCAGGAATGCTTTGCAGAGAGTGCCTCTTTGCTCTCCGGTTTTGGGACGCTACCACGTAACTCGTAGAGCTTCCCTTAGCTAGTTGCTGGAAGCCTCAGACTAATACCTCGTAGAGCTCTTCGGCATCGATGAGCTAAGAGGAATCCGGACGCAGGGTGGAGCTAGTTGGCGGACCCGACCTTAAGAGACAATGTGATAACTTGGAGTCGGCTTTTCCCCACATGTTTCGTGGGGTTATGGTTTTCTCCCCTGCCGCGGCGCACCCGCGTCTCCTCACCTCCCCTCCTCCTCTTCATTCCTCTCCTCAACCCGCGGTCAACACATGCACGGCAAGTACATGAGACACGCGTCTACATACAGCCGCACGCATGCACACACTTGCACACACAAGACGCATGTTCACTGCATCATACACCCAAGACGTCTGCACAATCCGTGAGGGTCGTCCAGGGCACAGCAGGCATGGCAGATTCTCGACACCATAGGGGGTGCGCAGGGGGTGGTTTCTCACCGCGGCCGCTATCCGTGACGGTCGTCCAGGGCATAGCAGGCAGGGATATTTTCGACACCAGTGGGGGTGCGCAGGGGGTGGTCTCTCACCGCGGCCGCTATCCGTGACGGTCGTCCAAGGCACAGCAGGCATGGCATATTCTAGACACCATAGGGAGTGCGCAGGGGGTGGTCTCTCACCGCGGCCGCTATCCGTGACGGTCGTCCAGGGCACAGCAGGCATTGCATATTCTCGACACCATAGGGGATGCGCAGGGGTGGTCTCTCACCGCGGCCGCTATCCGTGACGGTCGTCCAGGGCACAGCAGGCATGCGCAGGGGGTGGTCTCTCACCGCGGCCGCTATCCATGACAGTCGTCCAGGGCACAGCAGGCATGGCATATTCTCGACACCAGAGGGGGGTGCGCAGGGGTGGTCTCTCACCGCGGCCGCAATCCGTGACGGTCGTCCAGGGCACAGCAGGCATGGCAGATTCTCGACACCATAAGGGGGTGCGCAGGGCAGGGAGTGGTCTCTCACCGCGGCCGCTATCCGTGACGGTCGTCCAGGGTACAGCAGGCATGGCATATTCTCGACACCACTGGGGGTGCGCAGGGGGGGGTCTCTCACCGCGGCCGCTATCCGTGACGGTTGTCTAGGGCACAGCAGCATCTCGACACCATAGGGGGTGCGCAATGGGTCTCTCACCGCGGCCGCTGTCCGTGACAGTCGTCCAGAGCACAGCAGGCATGGCAGATTCTCGACAGCGTAAGGGGTGCGCAGGGGGTGGTCTCTCACCGCGCCGCTATCCGTGACGGTCGTCCAGGGCACAGCAGGCATGGCATATTCTCGACACCATAGGGGGTGCGCAGGGGGGGGTCTCTCACCGCGGCCATTCGTGATCGTCCAGGGCACAGCAGGCATGGCATATTCTCGACATCATAAACGCCGGCGCAGAGGGTAGTCTCTCACGTGACGGTCGTCCAGGGCACAGCAGACATGGCATATTCTCGACAGCACAAGAGGGTGCAGGGGGTAGTCTCTCGCCGCGGCCGCTATCCGTGACGGTCGCCCAAGACACAACAGGCGTGGCATATTCTCGACGCCATAGGGGGTGCGCAAAGGGTGATCTCTCACCGCGGCCGCTATCCGTGACAGTCGTCCAGGACACAGCAGGAATGGCAGATTCTTGCCAGCGTAAGGGTGCGCAGGGGGTGGTCTCTCACCGCGGCCGCCATCCGTGACGGTCGTCCAGGGCACAGCAGGCATGGCATACTCTCGACACGATCGGGGGTGCGCAGGAAGTAGTCTCTTACCGCGGCCGCTATGCGTGACGGTTGTCCAGGGCACAGCAGGTATGCATATTCTCGACACCACAGGGGGTGCGCAGGAGGTTCTCTCTCACCGCGGCTACTATCCGTGACGGTCGACCAGGGCAGATTCTCGACACCATCATGTGGAGCAGGTGCTCTCTCACCGCGGCCGCTACTCGTGACGGTCGTCCAGGGCACAGCAGGCATGGCATATTCTCGACACCAGAGGGGAGTGTGCAGGGTGCTCTCTCGCCGCAGCCGCTATCCGTGACGGTCGTCCAGAGCAC